TGGAAGCTTATCCCTGACTTTCCATTCTATCGCTCAAAAACCTGAGCGCCCTGTGTCCTTGTAGGAACTGCATTGCATTGTTCAGAACCTATAAATCCCATTTCCGTTGACGCTTTAATTGCGGCGTGTGAGTTTCCAGTCTCCAGACACCAGTGAGTGACACCAGCCGGGACTCCCCTCACCATTAAGCCATCAGGCCCACTCATCGCACACGTAACAGGCGGTAATTGCAGACACAAGTTTCATCTATTTATTCAAATGAGCCTCATCGTCGGTCCCGGCCAGTAATCATTCCGCTAATTAGGTAGGTCAATGCGCGTCGGACAATTACAAAAGCAATTTCACTTTACAATTAAGGGGCTAAAAAAGAATGGGACCACTATTGGGTAGGAATTGTGTGGAGCGTTGGGGACCGTGATGGAAAGTGTGGTGTCTGTTTGAATTTGCTGTGCATGGAGTGTTCCACGATGTGATGCCGTATGTAGGTCAGATCTGTGGAGGCAAGGCAAGGCAAGGCAAGTTTATTTGTATAGCACAATTCATACACAAGGCAACTCAAAGTGCTGAACAAGATAGCATTAAAATCATAAATAATCACAGAACATTAAAAAGAAAGATAAAAACATAAAATCCCTCAGTTGTATGCACAGCTAAACATAACCGTTTTTAACCTGGTTTTAAACATTGTCAGAGAGGAGGCCTGTCTCACATCTTCAGGAAGATTGTTCCAGATCTTAGCAGCATGAATCTGAAAAGCAGCCTCCCCATGTTTAGTTCTGACTCTGGGCACTAACAGGAGTCCAGTCCCTGTGCTCCTCAGAGTCCGGGCTGGTTCATATGGGACTAACATGTCACTAATATATTTTGGTGCGAGGCCATGGAGAGACTTGTACACAAGCAGAGCTGTTTTAAAGTCTATTCTTTGAGCCACAGGAAGCCAGTGCAGAGACCTGAGGACCGGACTAATATGGTCGTACTTCCTGGTGATGGGAACTACACTGTGGATGTTGTTTTAAAAGCGATAAACATTTCAACTATGAATGTAGGGTTTTTACAAAGGTTTAGTTCCTATAATGTGGAGGATTCGTGGAGATATGCAAGTAAACAAAGGGCCTGAGTTCTGGATCTACAGCCTGTTTGTCTGTGTGAGTGGATCCCTCTCGTATCCTTGGCCTTCTTGAGGGTTCAAACTTTTTCCCACTGGGTTTTGAATCGTTCCTCTTGATACAGGAAGGTCTAAGGGCAGCGTTGATCCAGAACATTCGAAATTCAACAATATATATGGGTATTTTTCAACATTTATACTTACATAAATCCATTGGTCCATACTCATCATTGCGGCGGAACGGTGGCTGAGTGGATAGCACTCTCGCTTCTCAGCAAGAAGGTCCTGGGTTCGAATCCAGGTCGGAACAGGGCGGAGTGGAGTTTTCATGTTCTCCCCGTGTCTGCGTAGGTTTCTTCCAGGTGCTCCGGTTTCCCCAACCACTAAAAACATGCACAATAGGTATGAATGTAAATGAGAGAGTGAATGGATGGTGTTGGAGCTGATGGTCCAGTGTGTTCTGGACTCGCTTCTGTCATCACCGTGTGTGGAAGGATTGGAACAATATCTGACTCTGAACATTGTGAAGCGCTTTGGGTGACCTTGGTCTGTAAAAATGCGTAATATAAATAAACATTACTTACATACATTACTTACTTAATGCATTTCTTGTGTTTGAACTGTTTGATACTCTGATCGGTTGTTGGCGAATTCAACGTTTTTGCAATGTCCTTCGAAATAACTACTGTTGTGAAATAAGGTTATACAAGAATACATTTAATTGAATTGAATTACAAACATTTAGGGACAGTGGTCATAAGATAAGATAAGATAAGATAGACTTTATTGATCTCATACTGGAGAAATGTACAACCCATCAGTCGTCCTGCTCCCTATGAACCAATGACTCATATGTGTTTGTTATCATTCCATTTCCGGTGTCTTCGTTTCTCTGATCTGCTGTTGACAAATCGACAACTTTGTAAAGTCCTCCAGAATGACTGCGGTTGTGATTACAGAAGGTGGAATAGACCTCTTAAAGTGCTTACTACATAGGGTTCCTTTTCATTGGACAATATTGACTATTGGCTGTATTTTTTGCGAGTATTGTGTTTTACTGCAACAACAACAAAACAAATGTACACTCTGATATTCTAGTTTTAAAAGCATGTAAAATATGATTCTTTTAACCACGCTTCACTTCCAAATTTTGAAACAGGTTCAGCAGACGGTAGATTTCAGTCTTTTTTTCATTCTGGTTGCTTTACTTGTGTGCTGGCCTCTTCACAAACCTTGCCTCATACACATTATGGCATAAACTTATCTATTCCCAAGGAGAATGAAAGGTTGTTAGTACTCCATGGTACTGACAAACAAGCTCTGAGTTCAAGACCATTTCTCTGCATCAAAGTCTTGTATTAGTTTGAGAAAGCAGTGACGTATTTGGCCAGACCAAGCTTTTCCTGCGGTCCAGGTCTGGAGGCCAATGGAAGACAAACAGTTCTTCACCTCTGATACAAAACAAAGCACTCAGGCCAGTTCATAAGCAGCAGAGGGCTCCAAGCAGGCAGCTCCAACACAACTCCATGCCGTCTGCCACACACTGATGAAAACAGGCAAAAACAACATGGAAATGAATGGACACAACAATATACAACAAGCTAAAAAAAAAAAAAAACCCAGTTACAATTCATTTTTGGATTACAAAGAACTGCCATTCTCGGCAGTGTTGAGGGCAGAGGAACTAGTATTAGCTAGAACCTCAGTCAGCCTCAGTTCTCGTTCTACAGCCTCAGTCCTGGATCTAAAGCCTCAGTCCTGGATCTAAAGTATCTGTTCTGGATCTACAGCTTGAATCCTGGATCTATAGCCTGAGTCCTGGATCTAATGCCTCTGTCCTGGATCTATAGCCTCAGTCTTGGATCTATAGCCTCAATCCTGGATCTAATGCCTCTGTCCTGGATCCAACGCATCAGTCCTGGATCTACAGCTTGAGTTCTAGATCTACAGCCTGACCAAATTCTGGTAAGATAAGATAAACTTTATTGATGTCAGAATGGAGAAATTTACAATACTAGAACGGCCAGAGCCCTCTTTTTGACTTTTCTCATTCAAATCCAATGAACTCCGACATCCAATATGTTCAGTTTACCACTAGATGTGTTAAAAGTAAAGAGTACAAGGTTGTCAGAAAAAAAGCACACACACAATTCATACTTTCTGCAGCTGATATTTCATAGCCTTTAGTTCTCGTCCTTACTGTTCATATTTTTTTATTAAAACAGTAACTGATCCATCTTAATGCCATATTTGTCATTTTTCTTTCCCCGCTGAGGCTGTGTACCGCTCAATATATTCTGGCTCTAACCTTCACCCATTGAACGGAGGCGCTGATGACAGATGTTCGGTCCATTCACCCAATAATTACCGCGCACTGCCCGCTCCGCCCCCATCTCGCCGTCTACTGAGTTTTTCGGTGCCTTTGATCACACGTCCACAAATACCCCTCTAAATACTGTTTTAGATTGTACCCATGGGCAGCGCCGTGTAACAATGGAGAGAATGTGAACAGGGAGTAATGGGAAATAATAAGAAAATCAATATGCAGAGTCACGACTGATTTGGCCGCAGAATTTATTACGCAATGTGATGTTATGTGTGGAAGGACAGAAGTCACGGGAAATGTAATACATACAAAAGAAGTTGAACCACATTTTGTTTGCTGTAGTCGAGTATGTCAAGGTCTGTGTCTGGTTTTGAAGTGAGCCCGAGTCCTGGATCTAGAGACTGTCCGTCCGTGGGAGCAGATCCCTGTCTCAATGTGGGACTCCCTGAGGTTTCTGACTTTTTCCCGTTGGGTTTTTGAGTTGTTTCTTGCTGATGCAGGAGAGTCTAAGGACAGTGATCCAGGACATTTAAGGACATTTATTATCATTGATGAACATTGGTCATCAGCCGCCTATGGACCAATGGCTCTAGTAGTGTGCTTTTAAAGTGTGTTACTCCCTGGATCTGTCTGTTTTGAAATGCTGTTTTAAAACTTTGCTATAAACCATGTCCCCTTTCTCTCTACTATCTGATGACTTCATTCCTCCTATTTACGTCGATGTAAACTGTTTGTGAGCAAGTGTTGACCAGCAGAGTGGCCACTGCTGATGTCATTCAAACCCATGTGTTCGCGTTTGGCTCTTTTTGACATCTCTATAAGGTTGAAAGGTAGAAATAATCTCATCATCAGGCTTTTATATCATGTCTATGCAGCTGATCAGCGTCTCTATACCTGCTTCAAAACAACTCATGGTGAACGGTAACTGCGCAACTCAATGGATGAGGTTTTTCTCCAACTGGCTCCGGCTTCTATTGACCTGGATTGAAAAGTTTAAGTTTTTTTATCTTAATATTTTCTTTGTAAGTCCATATGAGCCCTAGTTATTGACCAATCAGATGCCCCTGCTAGAGGGCATAGGTCTTTCTGTAGTAACAAATGCCCATATAAGGAAATTGGCTTTAGCTTGCTTGTGTTCAAATAGGAATGCATTGTCCCATTGTTGAAGAAATTAAAGACACGTATGAATTCCATTTGGTGTTGAGGCAATGCAGAAATAATCTACGTATTTGGAATAGGACATGGCAGGGCTGACAGAGTAGTCTATGCTAGAAATGTATTACTTTTTTCTATAACACTGTTAGACAGAAAAAAAAAAGACATCAAAAATAGAGTAAATAAAAATCACAGACTTGGACCTCTTCCCTCTGTGTCCATGGAGATGTTGTTTCTATTTCCACCTCATGCACATGACTATACTCAGAAAGTTACATATGTCTCCTTAATCCTGTACAAACTAAAAGTCACAAGAGGCGCAACCGACCCAGCAACGAGTGCGAAATCCATCCACTGATCCCACACTACAGCGTCACACCATTATTTCTTGTTGCTCGCTGCTGTGTTTTCCAAATGGAGGTCAGTGAGGACCGGGAAAGATACCAAGACATATTTGCTTCTCTCACCTCTGCCGTGCTGCCGGAGAGTCTGCAGAGGAGGCGACGGGAAGGTCAGCCCAGCACTACTATTCCCCTTTTTTTTGGGATCCGCAAACCCAACAACGGAATCTTTTCATCAGTTTCAATGCTGCACGCCTTGTCAACCTGGCAGCTGATGAAGGGGCATCTGTTTGCAAAGAGTGCGGCAGTGTAAAGAATGCAAAGAGAGAATGCCAGCAGCCATCAAACAAAGGCAGCTGTGGTATTTTCTCCGCGGCTTTTTGATGTGAAATGTGAGACAGCCGTAGCTAAAGGCCACGCCAGATCTGTTCTACACAATGGAGACTCAGAAGGTGTGTCGAGTGTGTCGCGGCGAAGGGGGAGAATGTGCTGGAGCGTTGTCGCAAAACTTTTGTGACTCTTTCTGTAAATAGCTTTGGATGTAGCCTTGAACGAGATGGGGTTTTAAAACATGCACTGTCAGGCGGCAAGAGATGTGGAGGCAGAACACTTGGAAGTTAGTGGTTTGTGTGTTTAGTTTGTGGAAGTCAAGAAGGCAGGACTGCTTTGTCTATGGATCGAACGGTTTTAAACATGTGGCATTGTCAGCAACAACGCACATGAAGTTGTTTGCATTTCTGTCAGTATCAACACTTGTCAAAACTTGTCAATCCCACCCCCCTCATATAAAACTCTTTGCTGATGTTTTAGATCTGTTTTGTGGTAGAGTACACACCTCTCTGGAATGTAGTCTTGGGCTAATTTTCATCTTACAGTCGCACTCACAAACACACTCCCATTTACCCTGAACTATTCTACCTGTTTTTAGTGGCAAGGGAAACCGAAGCACCCGGAGAAAACCTACACAGACACAGAGAGAACATGCAAACTCCACACAGAAAGGCCTGGAGTTACAAGCATGTAACTTTGGCTTTTGTCGCCTTTTCAGATCAGCTTTTACAGAAAGAGAAGTGAAAAAGAGATGACCAGCATCATTCAGCCTGAACCAGAAGTGTCAAACTCATGTTGGAGTTTGGGGCCACATTTGTTTTTGTTTTTATTGATGAATGAACTGTATTTGACAAGAGTTCAACTAGTTTGGATTCAACCACAACTGCATCAAGAAGAGATGTATTTAAGACTGATAGTTTAATGTAAAAAATGAAATCTCTGGCCTAACTTCATCTAATTATATGTTAGTTAACAGATGAAATCATATTGTTGTTTTATTGAGAAACTTTTACAATGAAGTGTAACATGCCATAGTAGCAATAAAATCCTTTCGGGGGCCTCTGAAAATGGCCCCTGATGCCTGTGCTCAAGCATCAAACAGTGACTCACAGGGCTCTTTCTTAGTATCGACAATATCAGATGTAACAGAGAAAACTAGACTTTGTAAGGCTCAACCTTAAATGAAAAATGTGCTTTTGTTCCCTGTTCATTAGTTTTAAACAATCCTAAAATAAACACAGACAACCAACAATGTCGTCGGTGTTTGTCGATTATGAACAATAAACAACAGAAATAGAAACAAAACCACTCTCATTTTAACGTTGTAAACCTTATCGCTCTCATAACAACCCGCTCTCATTACACCAGCAACTGTACGTTCTCAGACTGAACGGATTTAACGCACTCCTCGTTATTAAGCAAAACAAAGTGTACATTTCCCGTCGCGCTTTTGCACCGACTCCATCGAAAGTGCCTCTTTAACCTCATTTCGGTCCATGAAAGCCTCTGCACAACTTTGCCATTAATGCCATCTCCGCCTGCGCTGGTTCAGGAGAGCGGCCCTCGACGGGTCCCACACACGTTCTTTTTTACACATGGAGTTTAATGGCATCACAGTCGCCCTTCTGCATCCGTAAGTGTGCATATTAATCACGGGGAAGCGTAGCACTGAGTGGGCCTTATTCTCATTCCATTTCTAAAACTTGCATCTGATTATTTGGCAACGGGGCTCCGGGTTTGAGAGACGTCATTGAGTGCGTGTCGGCAGTATGTGGTGTGCACTGATAGAATTCACCAATAATCTCCACTATTTAAGATGAAGAGATCCTTTATTGGTCCCAAAGGGGGGAAATGTCAGTGTTGTATCACCGGTCACAGAACAGTTGGAATGAGGAGCACACAGCACAAGCTAAGTCAACAATAGCATAATAAAGAAGAAAGTATAACATCTCTAACTTTAGCGTAGTAAAGAAGCTAATCTAAACTTGTCAACTTTAGCATAATAAAAAATAATTAAGTACAAAATCTCTAACTTTCTCTGAAGCAAGTATAAGATATTGTAGTGCAATAATTACAGTATATAGTCGTATGTATACATTTGTACATGAGGGTATGAGACAAACTGACTACGTTTATATTAGCGCTAGAAGAACATGCTTAAAGCTAAACCAAACTTTCTAAAAACTTATAATAACTTTATAAAATCAGTTTGGTTTGATCAATAGTTTTCTCCTGTACAGTGCACACCAAAAGTTTGGACACACTTTCTCATTCAATGAGTGTCCTTTCTTTTCATGACTATTGACTGTAGATCCACACCAGGCTGTGTAAGGGCTGTTTGACCAATAAGGAGACCTCCACAGTCACTGGACCTGAACCCAGTCCAGATGGTTTTGGACCTGAACCCATTCCAGATGGTTTTGGACCTGAACCCAGTCCAGATGGTTTTGGGGCTGGACCACAGAGTGAAGGGGCCAACAAGTGCTAAGCATCATGGGAACTCCTTCAAGACTGTTGAAGACCATTTCAGGTCCTCTTGAAGCTTATCCAGAGAATGCCAAGAGTGAAGCAGTATCAGAGCAAAAGGTTCTACTTTGAAGAACCAGAATATAACACATATTTTCACTTGGTTCATACTTTTTTTAGTACGTACATAATTCTCATGAGTTCATTCATAGTTTTGATGCTTCAGTGTCAATCTACAATTTTCATAATTATGAAAATAAAAAACTCTTTGAATGGGAACGTGTGTCCAAACTTTTGGTCTTTCGTGTATGTATTGTCTGGGCTCTGTCACACCATAAACTCAGCTTTTTTGGACAGAAAGGTGAAAAAGAGCAGACCACCATCACTCGGCCAATCAGCTCTCAGCCCAAAGAGTCAAATGGTGACTCAGGAGATAGCAAGTCTTCTAACACAATGAAGGCAGCGTTTTGTCGTCTGATTCGTTCACCGCTTCTACGAGACTCTTTCTGTTCTGACAAAGGACATGTACTGATTTGGGGGTAACAAATGAAAGTACCCCAGCTTTAAATGGTAGAAAAACCCAAGAGTACATCCCAAAAACATAGTTGTATCCACCCACTTTTGTTTATTTGTGAAATGGCGACACAGAATCGGTTACAGTCTGCTTCTGAAACTACAAATGGTTTCTGTGCATTGTTGAGGGGTCACATGGGACGCAGTGCGAGAAAGGGAAAAGCTGAAAATAGACTTTGGCAGAGGAGGAGACCGTATCCGTTTATGTATTCTGTAGTGTGATGTCACTTCAGATGTTACAGTGACACAGCAGCCTCGAATCACACTCTTTAATCTGAGAGGAATATTGTCTCAGGTCAAGGCACAAAAACTAAAAACAATACAACGAAAGGATAATAGGAAGTGACTGTTTTGTGCGTTATTTAAATATTCAAGTCTGACGTTGTTTTGTATCATCTCTGGGTAGAATCTGGTTTTATGTGCGCAATTACAAATCCTATTTCAGTGGGCGACAAGATTTAGGTAAACTGGGCCCTGTGAGCTGATTTTCAATTATGATAAACTTACAGCATTGGCGTCTATGTCAAGTCTATTTGTACATCACATTTTTAACAACTCCAGCTGCTCCAAGTGCTTCAGAGGCGAACAAGATAAACAAGTAGAAAGAAAAAGGCATAAAACACAATCGGAGACATGTCAGATACAGCAGGACTTTGCTTTGTCTTTCTGGTTGAATTTCTTCTTGATATTTTATAGTTTTTTAAAGGTCAAGACTCGATTAATTAAATACAGGCTTTGCACGTAAATATTTGACTATAGCACATTTTGGAAGCCATTCTCTTCTACTCTGAGTGGTTTACAGTCAATGGAAATTCAGAGATCCAGGCTTAAAGCTTGAAGCAGTCACCTGGCTCTGTGTGGCTTGTTGTGAAACATCCAGGAACTAGAGAGAGATGAGAGAGAGAGACCAGAGAGAGAGACCAGAGAGAGAGAGAGACCAAGGAAAGATCAGAGAGAGATCAGAGAAAGAGACCAGAGAGAGATCAAAGGGAGACCACAGAAAGATCAGAGAGAGGGACTAGAGAGACCGGAGAGAGATCAGAGAGACCAAAAAGAGACCAAAAGGTGATCAGAAAGAGACCAGAGAGAGAGATCAAATAGAGACCAGGAAGAGAGATCAAAGAAAGAAACTAGAGACAGACCAAATAGTGATCAGAGAAAGATTAGAGAGACCAGAGAGAGAGATCAGAGAGAGACCAGAGAGAGAGAGGGACCAGAGAGATCAGAGAGCGAGACTAGAGAGAGATCAGACAGAGACCAGAGAGAGAGCCTAGAGAGAGATCAGACAGAGACCAGAGAGAGAGACTAGAGAGAGACCATACAGAGACCAGAGAGAGTCAAGATAGAGACCAGAAAGAGACACTAGAGAGGGACTAGCGAGACCAGAGAAAGAAACTTACAGTTGTAAGAGGGTGTTAACCCTAACCCTATAAAATAGGCGGCAAATAAATTACATTATTGCGAGAGACCAGAGTACGAACACAAACACTTCCGACCGCTCACACAAAACCCAGCTGCCATCTTCCAACTTATGCTCAGACAGAGAGTAAGAGAGTTCTGAACCTGTTCTGAATTCCCATGAGCGACGAAAACTTTCCTCAAAAAAGGTCAGCGGAGAAATTAGCCGTGAAGGAGGAGATCTTCACCTTTCCGTGGCCTGAGCGACAGACTCAGAAGTGGCTTGATTGGAGCCATTGTGTACCCTTGTGTTTGATGATAATTGCACATCCTGTTGTTTTGTCGTGCGCCATGAAAAATTCATGAGCTTCTATCTTAAGATTTAGGGCCTAGTTTGTGGCTTTTTCACTCTCTCCCCGGTCGCACGCATTCGACGGTGAAGGTATGGAGAGAATGATCGCTGGATGTCTGCTTAGCTTTTGCTTGGAAAGACATAATGAGTCACTTAAACAGGTTTCTTCTTCGTTTCCGTGACCTCTGGAGATG